CCAGGTCCATGCGATAGTACCCTGGGGGCTACCGAATCTCCCCTCCCCCTGTTTCACTCGTCTCAGTTTCAGTTTCGGAATACCCATACCCATTTCAAGCTTGGCCCTTCTTGGTGGGGTCCTCTCTCTCTCACTTTCTACTTTCCTGTCTCGACTCGGTTTCGCAGGATACCCGCAAGGGAAGGAGGCTTCCAGCCGGCAAGCAGAAGCCCGGCGATCCGATGGGGTCGCCCAGCACCTCGGGGCCCGAACGCGGTCAGACGTCGAACGCGGAAGGCGGAGAGGAGTTGTACATCTGTTCCGAGTGCGGGCGAAGCTTCAGCCAGCTGTCCGATCTGTCAGGGCATCAGTGCTGCCTGGTGGAGGGGAAGGCCCGGCAGTTCGGGGCCTCGCTGGGTTGCCAGCCCGAGGAAGGGCCGCTCCGGTGCCCCGAGTGCGGGGCCGGGTTCAGGAGAGCCCTTCGCCTGACTGAGCACCGGCGGCGGACCCACGGCGGCGAGAGGCCGTTCGCCTGCCCCAAGTGCGGGAAGGGATTCGCTCGCTCCGCTTCCCTGCTGGCGCACCAGCGGGCGCACGCCGGTAGTGGCTCGTTCGTCTGCTCGGTGTGCGGGAAAGCCTTCGCTCAGCCGTCCCACCTGCAGACCCACCAGCGGGTCCACACCGACGCCAGGCCCTTCGAGTGCCCCGACTGCGCCAGGCGCTTCAAGAGCTCCGGCGAGCTGATGCGCCACCGGAGGGTCCACACCGACGAGAGGCCATTCCGGTGCCCACACTGCGGGGCGGGCTTCCGACGGTCATCCCACCTGGCCGCCCACCAGCGGGTCCACACCGGGGAGAGGCCTTTCCAGTGCTCCGACTGCGGGAAGGAGTTCACCCACTCGTCTAACCTGCTGACCCACCAGCGTGTCCACACCGGCGAGAGGCCGTACTCCTGCTTGGTGTGCGGCAAGGGCTTCACTCGCTCCTTCAACCTGCTGACCCACCAGCGGGTCCACACCGGCGAGAGGCCCTACACCTGCTCTGTGTGCGGCAAGGGCTTCAGTCAGTCCTCCCACCTCATGAGGCACCAGCGAGCCCACCAGCAGTGACAGTCCAAAGATTGTGTGGGTTAGGGTGGATTGGCCGTGCTAAATTACCCATAGTGCCCAGGGATGTGCATGTCAGGGTGGATTGACCAGGCTAAATTACCCATAGTGCCCAGGGATGTGCGAGTTAGGGTGGATTGGCCGTGCTAAATTACCCATAGTGCCCAGGGATGTGCAGGTTCGGGTGGATTGGCGGTGCTAAATTACCCACAGTGCCCAGGGATGTGCAGGTTAGGGTGGATTGGCCATGCAGGGTTACAGGGATAGGGGAGAGGGTGGGATGATCTTTGGAGGGTCAGTGTGGACTCGATGGGCTGATTGGCCTGCTTCCATACTGCGGGGTTTCTGTGGTTCTCCAACAGTGATTGGATTCTGCTTTCATACAGAGTCAGGACTACACGATGTTAGTTGCTCATTGGATCTGCTCCTGCTGATGTGAATAAAACGTCAGCCCAATTATCAGGGCTAACATTGCGGACAAAGACATGACATATTTGAGTTTTTTATAACCTCGGACGCAAGTCAGTTCCCATTTACAGGGCTCCCCCTTCATGGGTCCCCTTTTCACTTTAGAATTATAGAACGCCCACGGCGTGGAAGCAGGCTGTTTGGCCCATCGAGTCCACGCTGACTCTCCACACAGCATCTCATTCAGACCCACGCACCCCCACCATATCCCTGTAACCCTGCATTTCCCATGCCTAACCCACCCAGCCTGCACATCCCTGGACACTACGGGACAATTTAGCATGGCCAATCCACCTTTAACCTACACACCTTTTGGACTGTGGGAGGAAACTGGAGCACCCGGAGGAAACCCACGCAGACATGGGGAGAACATGCAAACTCCACACAGACAGTCGCCCGAGGGTGGAATCGAACCCGGGTCCCTGGCGCCATGAGGTAGCAGTGCTAACCACTGAGCCACTGTGCCACCCACTTCAGAGAGGGCCGGGGGAGGTCCGAGCCTACAACAGTTCGTCGATCCAGGATGTCTGGGGCCTGTATTGGCATCGCTCCGGCTGAAGAGAAACAATGGACCAAGGAGGAAGACGTTCAGGGCCCTCTGTGTGTTCCACCATTCAGTACGATGAAGGATGGTCTGATTGTAACGCTATCTGCCCCGTCCTGCCCACTCCCCACTGCCTGGCCTGTTTCCTTAGTCTTTTCTGTGGCCCTGGTGAGGGAGCACGTGGTGACTCTGAAGGGTCTCGATGGAGTAGTTGCCGCGAGTTTGCTTCCCCTGTGGGCAACAGAACGAAATGCAGGGGGCCAGGTCTCTGGCGAAGGGGCTGGTTGGTCATTTATGAGAAATGGAAACAGGCCCTTCGGTCCAACTCGTCCATGCCGACCAGCTATCCTAAACCGAACTCGTTCCAGCGTTTGGCCCGTATCCCTCTAAATCCTCCCTATTCACGTACCCATCCTGATGCCTTTTAAATATCGTAATTGTACCAGCCTCCACCACTTCCTCTGGCAGCTTGTTCCATACACGCATCACCCTCTGCATGAAAAAGTTGCCCCTCAAGTCCTTTTCAAATCTTTCCCCTCTCACCTTAAACCTATAGTTTTGGATTACCCCCACCCTGGGGAAAAGACCTTGGCTTATTCAACTTACCTATGGCCCTCATGATTTTATAACCTTTATAAGGTCACCCCTCAGCCTCCAATGCTCCAGGGAAAATAGCCCCAGCCTATTCAGCCTCTCCATACAGCTCAAACCCTCCAACCCCGGCAACATCCTTGTAAATCTTTTCTGCACCCTTTCAAGTTTCACAACATCCTTCCTATAACAGGGAGACCAGAACTGAACGCAGTATTCCAACAGTGGCGTAACCAACGTCCTGTACAGCTGCAACATGATCTCTCAACTCCAATACTCAATGTACTGACCGATAAAGGCAAGCATACAAAACACCTTCTTCATCGCCCTGTCTACCTGCGACTCTACTTTAGGAAGATTCCCTTCGCTTTCCTTGGGAATATGTTGCTGATTTTGGTTTCTTTAGCTGCCGAGGTTATTCTCCTTCTAAACCTGAGGTGTGGTGACCCTCAGGTTAAATTATCACCACCCCTCTCTCTCTCTAATGAGACAGCAGTGCAGTGGTTCACCAGGGCTCTGATGACTGCTATTTTTTGCTCCATAATGCCAAATATTTAGGGTAATAAAAGGGGAAAGAACATCCCAGAGAAACTCGAACGGTCTGTTCTGAATTTCTATCGTGGACTGACAGTGATACTGACTTATCGACTCTTTATACAGAATATTGGTTTGCAGAGAAGAACCTTAAAACAAACAAGATGTCAAGATCGACGGAGCAATTTTTCAGAACCTAAATATCATTTTGAGGAAGATGATAAATGGTTTTAGAATGTGGTGAAAAATCACAGAGACAAACATGCACACGCTAGAATGAGGGTATTCCTGATTTGTCTGGAAAAATATGTCATTTGCAGTAGGGATCGACACTTCGGCAAAACTGTGCAGGCCCAAGGCTTCCAAACTGGAGAGGCGCCAGGAAATCTACAACGCGAAGACTGTGGGAAGGGATTCAGATTGCCCTGTTGACACACTGGGAGAGACTGCCCACTCCAAGTGTGGGAAGGGATTCACTCAGTTGTTGAGCCAGCTGAGACACCAGTGAGTTTACGATGAGAGGGACTGGATTCCACTGTTAATCACATTCCAGACTCGAACCGTGTTCGTTCAGACAGTAGGAGCTTGTTTCAGCTGATGTTAGGAAGCCCCGTAACTGGGCCCAGGTGTTTCATATTCTGTACATAGATTAAATAAATCAGTGTCTGAGTCAAACAGGGACTGTTTGTGACTGAGACAACAAGGTGCAGAGCTGGATGAACACAGCAGGCCAAGCAGCATCACAGGAGCAAAAAGGCTGACGTTTCAGGCCTAGACCCTTGACTGTTTGGGTTGTTTCTCTCCTTTGTTAATGGAAGACTTTTAGATTGTGCTACTTCAGGATGTCTCGGAGTGTGTCACGGCCAATGATGTTCTTTTGAAACACAATCACTTTTATAATGTAGAAGATGCAGCAGTCAAATTGTACACAGTAAGATCTCGCAACAGAAATATGTCATTGTGGCCACTTCGTATATTTAGGGATAAATATTGAGCAGTTCACCAGGGAGAACACCTCCCACCCCCCGCTCTTCAGAATAACATCACGGGAACTTTTTACTCCCAGCAGAGGGGACAACAGTTGATGGTTTCATCTCAAAGATGAGACCTCTGATAGAGCCGTGTTGCGTCAGAACGTGATCTTGTATTAGAGTCATATGGCACGGAAACAGACCCTTCGGTCCAACTCGTCCATGCTGACCAGATATCCTGAATTAATCTAGTCCTGTTTGCCAGCATTTGGCTCATATCCCTCTAAACCCTTCCTATTCATATACCCATCCAGATGCCTTTTAAATGTTGTAATTGTACCAACTACCACTACTTCTTCTGGCAGCTCATTACAAACGCGCAGCACTCTCTGCGTGAAAAAGTTGCCTCTCACCTTAAACCTATGCCCCTCTAGTTTTGGACTCCCGTATCTTGGGGAAAAGACGTTGGTTAATCCCTCTATCCATGCCCCTCTATTATAAACCTTCTTAAGGTCACCCTTCGGCCTCTGATGCTCTAGGGGAAAAAAAACCCCAGACTATTCAGCCACTCCCTATCGCTCAAACCCTCCAACCCTGGCAACATCCTTGTAAATCTTTTCTGAACTCTTTCACGTTTCACAACATCTTTCCTACAGCAGGGATGTGGATCTAGGTTCGAATCCACAACCTGAGATGTTATATCATAGAACCTGAGTCGGAGATGAAAATTAAACCCCCGAGCCATCATTAATCTAGATTATTTTCAGTTCTCAGATCTTACGGTCACTGTCTTAGACAAGTGTGAGATTTTAGTCCAGAAGTCATAGATTACCCAAAAGTTGGGTTGAAATCACAGATAATTGTAAAGCCTTTTTATTAAGTGCCACAAGGATCGGTGCTGGGTCCACTGCTTTTTTGCTATTTTTAGATAAATGATTTGAATGTGAGCCTAGGAAGTATGGTTAGTAATTTTGCAGATGACAAATTCGATGGTGCAGTGGACAGTGAAGAAGGTTACTTCAGGGTACAGTGGGACCTTGATCAGATGGCGTTTAACTTATATAAATGCTGCATTTTGGTAAGTCAAGTCAAGGCAGGACTTATACGCTTCAATGGTAAGGTCCTGAGGACTGTTGCCAAACAAAGAGACCTTGGAGTACAGGTTCATAGTTCCTTGAAAGTGGATTCTAAGGTAGACAGGGTGGTGAAGAAGGCGTTCAGTGTGCTTACCTCTATTGGTCAGTGCACTGAGTATAGGAGTTGGGAGGTCATGTTGCGGCTGTACAGGACATTGGTTAGGCCACTTTTGGGATACTGCGTTCATTTCTGGTCTCCCTGCTATAGGAAGGATGTTGTTAAACTTGAAAGGATTCAGAAAAGATTTACAAGGATGTTGCTAGGGTTGGAGAGTTTGACCTATAGGGACAGAGCTGAATAGGCTGGAGCTATTTTGCCTGGAGCGGAGGGGTGACTTTACAGAAGTTTATAAAATCATGAGGGGCATGGATAGAGTGAATAATCAAGGTCTTTTCCGTAGGGTAGGGGAGTCCAGAACTAGAGGGTGTAGCTTATAAGTTGAGAGGGGAAAAGATTTAAAACGGGCAACTTTTTCACACAGAGGGTGGTGCGTGTATGGACCGAGCTGCCAGAGGAAGTGGTGGAGGCTGGTACAATTACAACATTTAAAAGGCATCTAGATGGGTACGTGAATAGGAAGGGTTTAGAGGGATATGGGCCAAATGCTGGCAAATGCGACCAGATTAATTTAGGATATCTGGTCGGCATGGACGAGTTGGACTGAAGGGTCTGTTTCCATGCTGTGAAACTCTAATTCTAAGAAGGTTTGATGTGAGATATAAAGAGAAAAGACCTACTGCCTGAAACTGATGAGTACATTTCTTCTGACTGACAAGTATGCCGGTGATTAAGCCCCATTCTTCCACCAGCCACACCATTAGGATCAATATCAACAACAACAAAAACTGAAATTGCTG